ACACACACACACACACACACACACACACACACACACAGATTTGCAATAGTGTTTTGCAAAAACCCTGATGAAACAACCCTTATCTGTTTCTACAGATTTTTTTGTCTTGGAAAACAACTTTGGTTTTGCATAACATCAGCATGCTGGTTATGCAAGAATTACGAGTACACTTGCTGACTGTTATATAAACTGATGGTTCTATGTCAGCATGCCAACTTTGCATTAACTTTGGCTCGTCTAATCCAATTCAAGATACATGCATCTTAGTGTGCTTACTATATTTGTCGTATATCCTTTAGGGAATTCAATACTGCTCTAGTCTTTTAGGTGTTAATGTGACCATTTTTACAGAAGTGAAATCATTGGAAACCAAGATATGAAAGCAAGGATGAGTTTAGGGTAGAAGACAGACTTGTATAGTTCAACATGTGCTTTTAAATGAAAAAAATGTACTTTCATTATTCGTAGGACTTCCACACATTACAAAATAAAAGCAAGTGTACTGCAAGTGTAAATGTCACTGAAAGTTAGTAAATGTAGGAACAATCAAAATGAAGTGTTTCTAAAGTGCAGCTTTTAATGGAAAATTAATCAGCAATAAGCAATTGGTTAGTTTATATAAGATCTGTTTAAAATGTATGCAGCTGCAACAGGATGCAATGTGCTGAGCTCAGGGAAAGCTCCACCCAAGTTTTGTAGGCTTTTATAGGGAAATTTTAAACTAATAAAAGGTAGAATCACTAGAGCTTATAAACCAAGGGTAGCTGTATATGCCTTTTCCATTGTAAATACTTTCTGAAAGTAACAGGGTTGGAACTGTTCAGAAAAGATGTCATTTTGGTACCGTAAATATGCCCCTCCCAGTAAGGAAGCCTCAATTTTCAGTATTTCCAATAATCTTCCTGGATTCTTTGCTTATCTTTTCATTTCCATCCCAGCACTTCTTTCTTCCAATGGTATCCTGCGGTATCAGTAGAGCAGAAGGCTGAGGTTTGAGTAGCGACTCTGCCTTGAATGGCTTCTCCTTCAACTCTTGGGTTGATCTGATCTTCATAAGGGTCTTGCCAGCCGCCTCTTGCAACCCTACACCGTCTAGTGCCAGGGGTGTCCAAACTTGGGAACTTTAAGACTTGTGGACTTCAACTCCCCAGAATTCCCCAGCCAGACTTGTGGACTTCAACTCGCTGGCTGGGGAACTCTGGGAGTTGAAGTCCACAAGTCTTAAAAGTCCACAAGTTTGGACACCCCTGGTTTAGTGGGAAGCCCTAATCCCATTTTGGGCGGGCCCGAGTCGCTTTCTATCGGGGAATGCGTCTTCAGGTGGAGGTGGGCTTTCCGTTGGGGAAAAAGGGCGGCCGCGGAGAGGGGCGACCCTACGACGAGACTGCATGGGGCGATGCCACCGCCCATGTCCCGCTCCATCTCCCCAGCTCCTGGGCTAGTTTGCCTTCTCCGCTCACCCAATGTGTTTCTTCCGCAGTTCGAGGGTCTCCGCTTTGCTGTACGTCTCCATCCTCCTGTCCGCTCCCCAAAGTTCTCCTGCTCTTCACAGCCGTCGGGGACTCGCTCGGTGCCAGCCCCGCCGGCCAGAGACATCTTCCTTATATCCCTCGCAGCCTGGGCGTCGGACTCCGCCTCCGCAGTCCTCTGCCAACCTTCCTTGCCCATCCCCGATCCTCCCACCTTCGCCCCAGGCCAGGCCAGGCCAGCCGGGCGAAGAGGCAGCGCAAGGGCGGCTGTTTTCGCTTCGGCGGTCACGTGCAGAGCGAATGATTTTTCCATCCGCCTCCTTCCAAGCTATTTATCCCTCCGTCAGTAAGTGCCGCTTTGCCGGAGACGGTCTGGCACGAATTGGCCACGCTTTGCCAAGGGGCAGCTCGTCGAAGCTTCAGGAGACCCTTCCAGTAAACATGAAGCAGGTTTTTTTTTAAATTCCGGGCGTAAAAATATTCAGTTCACGTGTACACCGAACTATCCGAACTAGACTGTGTTCTTTCTCTGTGTCATATATGTGGGTATATGCAACATTTTGAATTTATCTATCTATCTATCTATCTATCTATCTATCTATCTATCTATCTATCTATCTATCTATCTATCTATCTATCTATTTATTTATTCTACGATTATGTAGTGGAGGTGGTGACCCTTTGAGAGCTGTATGCAACGAAATTTCATTTTTTTCTGTACAGTTTTTTTATTTCTTTCATTTTCATAACTAATACCCACATGTATACTATTACATAACCAACTTCATATTGTATTGTTAAATGTTTACATCAATTCGTCTTATCATCAACTCCCCAAAACAATTATTGGCTCTTCTGCTCTTCATATTTGTACTCTATGCATCACTTTCTTCTCCCTACCTCCTTTCTCTCCTCTGTTCGTCCTTCTCTTCTCTACTTTCCCTTCCTCTCTCCTTCTCTCTCCCCTTTCCACTCTTTCTTTCTCTCCTCCTCTTCCCCGCTCTCTCCTATCCCTCTCTTCTTCCCTTACCTCTCTCCTCTACTTTGTACTCTTCCTGTCATTTACTTGGTGTATTTCAGCTTTTGAGCAAGCTCCATTTTATGTTGATGGTATTTATAATTCCTTTTCAATGTACATATTTAATTTTAACATGAACATTTAACATTTATGTATTTATGTATGTATTTATTTATGTATTTGTGTATTTATTTATTTATTTATTCTGTCATGATTATATAGTGTATATTAGAGGTAATGACCCTTTGAGAACTGTATGCAACAAAGTTTCATTTTAATGTATGCTGATTAATGTACATTCAAAGTGACAATAAAAGCTATTCTAATTTACCTACATTTTTTTCAGTCTTTAGTTATTTCACATACTCCTATTGATTTCAATGGACCAAAATCAAGGGAGAGAAAGGAGGGAGGGAAATCACATTAATGGAGCATTCAGTAGGAAGAAAGGAACATTCTGTTCATTCCATCTTCTTCATGTTTAATTCTTTGAAAAATGAACTTCTAAGATACCAGAGGAACGTTAAAGGTTTCAGGAGATACAACCGACCTGTAGCTGTTGAGTTGGAATTCTGATGCAGACTTAACATTGTTCAGTAGACTGAAAATAGTATCACAACAGATCTTGTTTTGGTTAGCTCTATTGTGTTTGACCGACTCTTATTTTCATTTGTGCTTCATTTGTGATAATCATACATACCTCACTTGTGTGTGTGTGTGTGTTCCATTTGTGGTAATAACACACACCTATTCCTCCTAACCGTAAGCCTTTTATGATTCCTTTGAAGGGATGCCAGAATGCTAGTTGTGCAAGAGTCAGGTATGTCCAATAGACTTCCAAAACCACTAATTTAACCCCCTACCTTGGCATCCCTGATGGTCAACTACTTGTTTCTTTAAAAACCCCTGAAAAGGTTTTGGAAATCATTGATTTCCAAGGCACCAAAAATCCTATATATCAAGTGGATGTTCTTTTAAACCAGTTGGTATTTATTTATCTTCTGAAGCAACATCAGTGGCTTGTTCTCAGATATGAAATAGTAATAGCTTTTATCTACTACTTCAGCCTATGTCCTAAAAGTGCTTTTTCAAGAGGCAACTGGACTTTCTTGTTTTTCTTTGAAGACATTTCGCTTCTCATCCAAGAAGCTTCTTCAGCTCTGACTTCCCCAGCATCCAGTCAGAGTTGAAGAAGCTTCTTGGATAAGAAGCAAAATGTCTTCAAAGAAAAACAAGAAAGTCCAGTTGCCTCTTGAAAAAGCACCTTTGGGTCAACGATGACCTGGATGACTGAGAATCTCCATAGATATTCTTCACCCTATACATATTTAATCTGATTGTATTTTTTTATGAAAATACCTGTGCTGGAAATGATATTGATATGAATTCAACTAAAGCAATATTTCAGATTCTTACCTCCAACACAAAATGTCCATTCATTGACCATGAATGTGAACTGATACAATTGATAGAATTCAGCGATTGTCTTTTCTAGGCTCAGGAATTATTAAAGGAGATTTGCCCACTGGAGAGGAGTCAAATTATAGCAAAAAATGAAAGATCACCAGCCAAACACGAGTCACCTAATTGAGTAAACAAAGCTTTAGCCTCAAGGTCATATGAATACACAGTTTGAATGACTGTCCCAAGGACTTATCTTTGGATTGGATTGTTCCGAAAGAAAAAATTGAGTTATTGCAGGGGTGTCAAACTCAAGGCCCACAGCCAGATCCAGCCTGGGGGGGGTGTGTGCTTAGATCTGGCCCACAGGGCCGTCCTGGAAACAGCAAAGTTTCGGCCCACAGTGCCTCTGCCATTGAAAGTAGAGCCCCGTTATCACTGGCAGAGGGTTGCATTAAGCCGAAAATGATGCTCAGGAGCCTGTTATAGCTGGGAGAGCACTTGGGCCACCACAGACACGAGTGACATCGAACCGGCCATGCCCACTTTGGCCACGCCTCCCCCCTTCTGAGGTCAAAAACAATCCTGATGCGGCCCTCAATGAAATCAAGTTTGACATCCCTGACCTATTGACTTAACTGAGCTTCATATATTGGCTCAGTCAATGTGTTCACATCAGGTTGTTGAGGGCAGCAGTCAAAAACAAAAACCAATCCAAAAACATTACTACGTTGTGACTTGCTGAGGCAGGAATTCTATGCCCACATGTTTAATACATTTAATCTGCTTAACAATGTATCACTGGAGGATTACTTATCTTGGATCTTTTGGCAAAACAGCAACCTTTTTTCTTTGATAATTAATAAAAATATTATTACTACAGTACTGAACACCGGTCCTTAAGGTTCTTTTGAGGACAAAAGATTGACAGATTCCTAGCAATTATATAAGATTATAAGAAAGAAATGATGCTACTTTGGGATATCATACCATTTTTCACCACCACCACCCCGTTATTCATCCAGTTTTGGGCATAGTGGAACATGTTCTATAGCCCTGTTCTTTGTATGTATTGTTTCTCTTACAAACTGACCTCAACGTTCCAATTTATGCACTTGAGTAATAATGCACAGCCAACCACGCAACAATTGTCTTAATCAGATCCGCTATAATTTAATTATTCTATCCACTCTTTGCAATGTATTCAATCATGGTCTGATTTTACAGTGTAAAATTTCCAGCTAACTGGACCTTGCTACTGCGTGCAGATCATCTGTGACCTTGTGATGGGAGGAACTCAGTGAGTTCTGATTAAAATGAGGATATGCTGATGACAGTAATTACTACTATTCGTAGGTCAGTGACCAGTGATTCATATTTATTTATGTTCTCTAGTGAAATGTATTTATGCAGTTTATCCCCCCTTAATTAAAAGAGACTAGTGGCTATTCAGATATATTATTGTTGTAATATGTTTTTAATAACACAAATAACTTTACATCTCCTTAACACATTGATAAGTTAATTAACTTTAACTAATGACTTAATAGCTCAGACTTACAGTTAATAATGTAGACTAATACAAGTATCCATGATTTCACAGCTAAATCCTTCAGACAGGTATTTTTACAGCCTAGCATATCGCCCCCAAATTAGCCTTCAACAGTCTTTGAATCGATATACTGAATTGCATAAATCTAATATCAGGTTAAGCAAATATATCACTGCAGCGAATATATTCTATTTCCTAATGATTATTAGTCAGTGCCTGCCACATTGAACTAAGGATACCAAACAGGGGTGATATACACTTACCTTGCCTACTGGTTCGTAAATGTGAGCATGTGTGCCTCCAACTCCGTGCATGCGCAGATCCTTCTGCACATGTGTTTTTGGCAAAAAAGGGGGGGCCTAAATGGGATGCATATAGCCAGACACTGGTGGGGAAAGCTACCCGTGATTTCCGCTACCAGTTTGGGTGATCCAGTCTGAAACGGTAGAACACCACCTCTGGTACCAAGTATTCTTAAGGCTCAGTCCTGGGGCATAATTCTAATTTCAGGGCTCAGTATTGCATTTGACCCTTCAAGTTGGATACCTCTGCTGTTGTCCAAGAGCTACTGGGACTGTACCCGTGTGGAAGAACTTTGAAATCTTGGCATCGCTGTTGAATTTAGGCCATTTAAATCTAGAAAAGGCCAAATCAAGAGTAAAAGAATGAAGGATTTGGATTGCTAAAATGCTCCTCAATTCTATTGTCAGCTGCAAGACCTTTACCAAGGGATATCTATACACTCTAACCGCAAGTAAATATAGATGCATCTTTTCCAGAGTTTGCTTTGATGCCCTCCCTTCAGCACTGCTGGTGGGAAGATTTCAAAGGACTCCTTATTTACAAAAAAATGATTCTTGTGGATCCAGGGATCATTTTGCCCATGTCCTCATAAAGTGTTCTTTTTTAGGTGTCCTCAAAACTTGCTTTGACGTTCCCAATCAACTCTAAATTTGAGGGTCATCTTGAGACCTTTTACGTTTATTTCTTTTTAAGGGATGCAAACTACATTCAGGTATTTTCATAAAGCCATACAGTTGTGCAACATTTAATTAGATATGTTATCTTATTGTCTTATTGGTTTTCCCCCCTGATAATGAATTGCTGTACCAAACAATTTCTGTTTTCCTGCTGCAAAGGCAGGTCAAAGGCTATAAGAAAGA